GAATCGGCTTAAAGCCGGCCCTGAGTGGGGGCTGGTCCCCTCCCCCCGGGACCCCCCGGTGGTGCCCCAGGGCAGAGCCTGGCCGGGCCGGGGGCGTTGGGCTCCTGCGGGGACAGCAGCTCCGAGCCCCCCGCAGGCGCGGCCCCCAGGGAGCAGATCCCGGCGCTGCAAGATGCCGGTGTAACGTGTTTTTTACCAAAAACCCCCATCCCTCCTGATTCGCAACCCCATAGACCAGGCGGTAGCAAGTCCTGAGCAGTAGCCCGGATGGTCACGTTGCGTGGCGGAAAACGGGAGGGTTGCTATACGTGTCGTCATACCGGGTCCCCCCCACGGACACTGGGGCAGAGTCACCGCCCGGCCCCACCCCCGGGGCTCGCTCCGGTACCTGGAGGCTGCAGCTCCGCAGCGGGGCGGGCAGAGCCCGGGGCGGCCCCAGCGGGAGCAGGGCCCGGCCCGGGCACGGCACGGGGGGGGTTAATGAAGGTCTCCCCGGGTCAGTCGGACCCTCCCTTGTTCTCCGGCCCCGCAGCACCTGGGGGGCATGTGCCCGGTGCGCTGGGAAATACAGCCTCTGCGCATGCGGGGCTCTCCCCCCCCCCTCCGCGATCTGCGCATGCCCAGAGCCGGGAGACACGGCGGGGTCCCATCTGTCCCTGAACCAGGCTCTGTGGGCGGGGCAGAGACAATCGCTCCAACGGCGCAAAACTCTTCTCCAGCCCCGGGAGAGGCTCCAACGGCCCCGCACGAGCCAGGCAGAACCGCAGCGCCCGGCGCGCATCCGCAGCCCAGCTCGTCCTCCCACCCCCAGCCTAACGTCACTTCCGCTCCCGGAAGAGTCAGGAACTACATCTCCCAGACTGCCCCGGGGGGCGCTTCCGCCCTCTGCGGCCCAGGTAAGGGAGGGCCCCGGGACCAGTCTGACCCTTTCCTCATCTCCCCTCCCCTCGCAGAGACCCCGCCCCAGCCGGCGCCTCTGAGACCCGCCCGCCTCGGAACGGCGGCCCCGCCCGGAGCCCCCGGCCCCTCTCCGCTTCTCAGGCGAACTCTCGTGTCCTCGCGGGGCGGGGGGAGCCTCAGCCCCGGGGTCTCTGGCCCGGCTGCCGGCAATAGGGGGAGGTCTCTGCCCGAGGGGCGAGTCCCGGGGCCGGTGTCGGGCAGCGGGTCACTTGCTCCCCCGGAGTGTCCGATCCAGAGACACCCGCGTGTCCCCACGCCCGGGGCCTGAGCCCGGCTCGGGAGTGTCCCCCTCGCACCCGAGCCTGAGACACTCACCCCCGGGGTGTGAGCACCGCACGCCCCTGTCCTCCTGGACAAGTCAGCTTGTGCCACTACCCTGGGGGCGGGGCTCTGGCACGGCCCGGGGGCGGGGCAGCTCCTGGGGGCGGGGCTCTGGCACGGACCGGGGGCGGGGCTCTGGCACAGACCAGATGCTGCTGCTGCCTCTGTGTGATCTGGGAGCCCGAGGTCTGTGCTGGGGGGAGCCCGGTATTAATCCCTCCGTGCCCGGTCGGGGGGGGCTTTCTCCAGCTGGGACCCGCCCCGTGGGCAGCCCGCACCAGCCCCCGGGCCGGAGCCCCCCGGTGAGAGAGAGACCCGGGGGGGGGGGCGCTGGGGCCGGGCAGGAAAGTGACTCTCTGCCCCGGGGAACCTGGGAGAAGCCCCGGAGCTGCCTCAGCCCCAGTGGAGCTGCAGCAGGATCTGCCCCCGGCACCGCTGGGATTGGGAGGGGGGAGTAGAGACTGGGCCCGGCGCGGGGGGGTGTCGGGCAGGGAGGGGAGAAGCCGGAGTTGGGGGGGGGGGGGGGGTGGGGGGCCGGGGGGGGGGGGGGGCGGCCAGGAAGTTCCTAGGGGAGAGGGGGCGGGGGGGGGAAGGGGGGAGGGGAGTTAATTGGATCCTGTCCCTGTTTGTGACACTTCCCTCTCACCCCTGATACAAATTCTCTCTAGGTCTGCCCCTTTTCTCTCTCATTAGCTCACACGTGGCTATAAAATCTGGGACAGATCACCCCCCCCCCCCCTTCGACTCAAATAATTAACTCTCTAGTCCAGGGGTCGGCAACCTTTCAGAAGTGGTGTGCCGAGTCTTTATTTATTCACTCTAATTTAAGGTTTCGTGTGCCAGTAATACGTTTTAATGTTTTTAGAAGGTCTCTTTCTATAAGTCTATAATATATAACTAAACTATTGTTGTATGTAAAGTAAATAAGGTTTTTAAAATGTTTTTAAGAAGCTTCATTTAAAATTAAATTAAAATGCAGAGCCCCCCGGACCGGTGGCCAGGACCCGGGCAGTGTGAGTGCCACTGAAAATCAGCTCGCATGCTGCCTTCGGCACGCGTGCCATAGGTTGCCTACTCCTGCTCTAGTCTCTCCTGATTTTCCCCTGTTCTCTCCGTATTTCTCAAATGTCAATTTAAAATCTCCTCCAATGTGGGGGGTTTCCCCACCCATTTTATCTGCAGCGATTTGTCCTTGTTTATGTGGGAAATTGTTGCCCTGAGTCATTCCCCAAAATATGGCTGCCCTTGGAGTGAGGATGGGATGAGATGCCCGTTTTCTGCCAGGGTAGGGAAGGGGGGAGCAACTGTCCCCCATGGAGACTGCCCAGACCCCAGTTTCCCAATCGCACTTGCTGCCCCCTAACTACCAACACAGTTGCCCCCAGCCATCAGTTGCCAGTCACCTGCCTATCCCCCACTGCTGCCCCCTTCCTTCATCCAGGGAGCCTTCCAGATCCCCCTCCCCCTCCCTTGCCTTCTTAAATCAGCTCCTCAAAGGGCTCCCTGCTGTCCATGTGAACCAGCACTTTCTGTTTATGTATTGGACAGTCATATACAATCCAGTCAAACTGTCCCTCTTTTCCACTACTTAGTTAATAGCAATTTAAAATCCCCTCCGATCTTGGTGTTTGTCTCTCATGTTATCAGTTGCGTAGTCTGTGACATGTATTCTCTGCAAATCTCGAAGATTAATATAAAATACCCTAAACATTTGCCCCATTTTTCTCTACTTGTCTATTTCTAATTGAATATGCCCTGAGATTTTTCCTGTCTTTCTAATTTTAAAATACTAAGAAAATCTCAGATTTACACCTTTTCTCAGATTCTTGAACATGGATATAAAATGTTTGAAAATGTTGCCTATTTCCACTTTATTCATATATCAAATATTGATGTGAAATACACTCAGATTTTACCTCATATCAACAACTGGTATAAAATCCCTCTGATTTTCTACTTTCCTCTCTATAATTTGCAAAAATTGATCCAAAATCCCTCAGATTTCCACCCTTTTTCTTTCATTTCTGGACATTGATCTCAAATCTCAGGTTTTCCCTCTTTCTATGTCATTATCAAATGTCAATTAAAAATCCTCTTGGGTTTGGGGCTGTTCCCCATGTTTCTAAATCCCAGCAACTTCTCCTTCCTTGGAGGGAACCTGTTGCCCTAAGTCCTTCTCCATCCTGGATGTTGCAGGGGGTTAAATTGCCCAGTGAGCATCTTTCCCCTCTCCTTTGAGAATCATTTCTTCCCTCCTTCAATCTCTGTTAAAATGTTTGCTGATGAAAGAGACCAGCCACATATTTAATACACATCAAAGCCAGAGGCCTCCCCATGTTTGGGGAATCAGTGGTTCCCAGCTGGTAACAGGAGAGTTGGCTGGACCCTTTTCTTTTTTCCAGCTGGCACAGGATGAGGATGTCACTCTGAGTGGCGCGTGGGTTGAGAAGTATCCCAAACCCCATGACAAATGGTCTCTGTGCAGGGTTGCTTCTCACAGTGCTAAGATGTAGCCACCTCTGGGGTGGATTCATGGTGGCCATTATTTGCTAGTGACTGAGCATGGAAATTTCTTAACTATTTTGGCCCTCCAGGCCTTCCATTCTCCTGCTAACGAAGCATCCCCCAGGGCTCCCTCTGCCTGTGTGACTGGCCAGCAGGGGGCGGTGATAACTTTCTATCCACTTCTTAGACACTGTGAGGTAACAATGTCCCTGGGGCGGGGATGGGTGTCTGTGTGGGGAGATCGCAGCTGGAGCTGAAGGGGCATTGTGGTGGGGGGAGGCCTCTGGGTGACTGGGCAGGGGGTACCCTAGTCAGGTTGGTGAGTTCTGGAGGTTTGGGGCTTAGCAGGTGGTTGTGATGTGCCCAGCCCTGAGGCTATGGGTCCTGGAGGTGGGTATCGTCGGGGGCCTGTTGGCTGCAGAACAGTGAGGGTGAGCATCTTGGGGAGGTGGGGCAGGGGGTTAGAGGGTGCCTGGTGCTGTGCCAGGGGCTCTCTGTCTGAGCTTCCTACACTGGCTCCTGGGATCGTTGCTGTGCCCTGTGCACAGAGCTGGGGGGGGAGGGGGGATCCCTGGCAGTAGGTCAGGGGATGCCAGGCAAGCAGAGTGAAGGGTCCCGCAGTAAAGCATCAGGGGGTCCCAGTCAAATGGCATGGCAGATCCTGCTGGAGGGCAGGCAGGGGTCTTAGGCAGGCAGTGTGGGAATCCCAGACAGGCAGTGAGGGACCGAGTTCCCAGTAGGGGGTCCCTGGCTGCTGGGGTTCTTGGTGGGGGGAACTGTTTGGGATTCCCAGCCTGGCTGTGACGGTCTGGTTGGGGGTTCCCTGGCCGGTGAGGCTCTGAGGGGTATCTGAGGTCCCTGGCTGGGACGCTGGGGGCTGGGTCCCAGGGAATATCTGGTGGGACCCTGGCTGGGGGGTCTGGGCTCTGGGTACTGGGGGCTGCTCCTGACTTTACTCCTTCTCCCTGATCAGTTTGTGCCAGAATCCTGGCTCCAAGCACTGCCCGACATTCCCCAGCCACACCCAGTCACCGTGATAACTTTCTATCCACTTATCAAAAGTGGAAAAGCACAGATTTTGCTTTTCTCCTCTCTTGAAAATGGCAGGAACTTCCGGTTCCATCGGGAAAATTCTTGCCCCCTAGTCCTTGTCCTAGATCTGAGGGGCGACGGAGATGGGAAGGGGATTAGCACTGCCACACAGTGGTCTCTTCCACAGCATTCTGGACTCATTCTTTCTGAAATCTGGTTTCATTGAGACCACAGTTAATCCAGAGTCACTGCATGGAAAGACAAGGAGTGACTCCAGATGGACAGTGGGGCAAATGAGATCAGCAATTCTCCCTGTGAGGAGGGGCTCTCATTAGCTGCTCTCCCCAGAGAGCTAAAGGAGGGAAGGCAACTCAATCGCTCTGTTCCTCTCTGCTCATGATATTGGGGTTCAGCTTCCTGGGTCAGACGCTGCAGCCTCCATTGTGATCTGGGAGACCAGACTTAGCAGCTGCTGCTCCCACAGCAGGGTTCTGTGCTGGGAAGTGACCTTTTAACTAAAGCTTCTTCTCTGCCCGGACCAGGTGATGACTTTCTCCAGCTGGTACTAGCCCCCTGGGCCCTGTTAATACTAAATTCTGAGCCAGAGACTCCAGGTAACTAAAAGAAACGTAGGGAAAATGCTGGGGTCTGGCATTAAAATGACTCTAAGCAAACATCCTCTCCTACCCCCCCGCCATGGTAATTTTTCCTCCCATTAGCAATTGCAGGAGCAAATCCAGCCATGGGGAGCAAACAATCCAGGAATGGGACTTTCTTACCAGATGGGCAGGGAGAGGGGACAGGGAAAAGGAGATAGAAGGAGAAAGAGAGACTGAAAGTGGCCGTGGGAGAGAAGAATTTTGAGAGAGATTTCCAGATCTCTAATCTGCCCAGACAGATGTATTAGTGCACCCTGGGTAGAGTCACTTTCCTGTGGACAAGATGAGGATCAGACAGAAGAAAACCCAGTTCCTGACCCCATATCCCTCCTGCTGGGGTGTGGCTCCCGTAAGGTCAGCGTCAGAGGGAATTGTCGAAAGTGACTCCTTTGGTTCTGCTTTTTTCTAGCCTTGTGTTCAGAGACTTTGTTACAGGATGGGGGCAGGGAGAAGGAGAAGGGAGGTTAAAAATCTGTCTGTGGGCTTAGCCTGGCAGTAGGGGCCAGGTCTACACTGTAATAAAGAGATTGAACATTTTCCCAGCATGGTAGAATCTAGGATATCTGTCTGCAGAGAAAGAGCCTGGGGGAATAGTGATGTGAAATTAACTAAAGCCTGTTCTGAAACCTCCACAACTGCCCTTCTCAACCAGACAGGCTGCAGAATGATGTCCATGTTTCGCTCCAGCTCATCCCATCTTCCCATGGGATAGGGAAGAGAAATTGCTGCAGTGGAGCCAGTTCAGGTAGGGATCATTGGGGGGTTCCTGGTGGGTTCCTGTAGGAGGGAGAGGGACAGGGACAGCAAATACACCGGAGATGGGAAGGTTTGCACAGTCTGGTCTGGAGGTTGGAGCGGGACAGGAAATGCACAGGGTGGAGAAAGGGAGGAGGACAGGGTATGGCAAACCTGCTGGGAGTTGTTTAATAAGTGGCCTAGATTCTAGGAACAGACCCATGAGGTTCGGAGGTGGAGATGCCCTAATTTGTGAAACAGAAAATAACCCACCTACATGGGGCTAGGAAAACTGACCAGACTCATAGTTCTGGAGCCCGACCCAACTAATCAGCTGCTGTGAGATATGAAGGAGGCACCCACCAGTCAGGCTTAGGGGAGATACCCCTTCCTTCATATCCAGCGCCTCACAAGGAGGAGGGTGTTGGGCTTCCTACCAGGGAGCTCTCCGTGTACCCTGCTAGGGGCTCCATCTCCTGTATCAATCTGTGGCTAGGAGGTGTGTGATGGATCTGCTGGGAGAGACAAGGGGCTCTCTCTTCGTCCCGTCACTCTGGTGTTTCCTGCATGCTCTGAGCTGGGTGGGGGTGGGACTCTGTTGACTGCGATCCACCCAGAGCTTCCATTTGATTGGCTCTTCTCCCCCATGAATAGTGGGGCAGCAGGTACTGAATGTGGGACTCTTGCTCTTTCAGAGGCCGGTGACCTTCGAGGAGGTGGCTGTGTATTTCACCAGGGAAGAGTGGGCTCTGCTGGACCCCACTCAGAGAGCCCTCTACAGAAAAGTCATGCAGAAGAACTATGAGAATGTGACCTCGCTGGGTAAGGATTTCTGTGCCTATGGTTATTAGAAGGGGAAAAGAAGAGATAAGGTTCATGCCAGCCCCACAATGCCATCTCTACTCTGCCCTGTTTCTGCATCACCCCAACATGCCACTGACACATACAATACCACTCTACCCTCTCCTCCTACAGAACACTTTGGGAACAGAGCACAGGAGCAGTATCGCACAGTGTCAAATATCTCCTGTTTGCTCAAGTAAAACTGGGGGTTAGGTTCAGCATAACCAACAGAAGGTTCCTACTCCTGGCTTTCTCTCAAACCCTGAGCCTTCTCCACCCAACCCAGAATGTGCTTGGAGTATAACAAGCAGGCTGCTGGAGTCAGAGCTGCTGGTCCAGGGTTACTTATCACACAGACACTCAGGGTGTCCTTGAATGCTGGCTGGGAGTATCCAGACAAGGGAGTTCTAGCAGCAGAACACTGAATCTCACCCAGGATTACAGATGACACAACTCCTCACTGATCTGGATTGCATCCGTGCATGTGAAAATGGCCTAGGTTGGTAGTGAGACTTCTTTAGACCTGGAGAGTCTTGCTCCTCCATCAACATGTGTAATAGCTACAATCTCTCTTCTCTGCAGGCTCTTTGGATCTTGGAGTGCATCATTCCTGAAGTCACATGACCTGATTCTTATTTTTCACATTCTGACTTTCCAGACTAATTAGAGCAGGGGTCTCAAACATGCAGGGTGATTTTCTGCGGCCCGCGAGCCCCTCGCAGCCCCCCCGTCCTCCCCCAGTGTTTACCAGAGCGGCTCCGGCCGGACGTGCACCGGGAGCAGGGTATGCACCGGGAGCAGGGCATGCTCCCTGCCTGCCTGCCCTGCCCTGCCCTGCCCTGCGCTGCGCAGCTCCGGGAAGAGGCTGGAACATGGGGAAGGGGGGGGCGGAGGGGCTGTGTGTGGCTGTTGCTTCAGGCAGCGCCCCCAGCAGCTCCCATTGGCCGGGAACGGGGAACCACGTCCAATGGGAGCTGCTGGCGGTGGTGCCTCAAGCAACAGAAACACACAGCCCCTCCTCCCGCCCTTCCCCACCTTCCAGCCTCGTGCGGGGGCAGGGCAGACAGGCAGGGAGCCTGCCCTGCCCCCGGTACACGCCAGGCCAGATCCTGCCCCCTGAATCCCTCCTGCAGCCGAACCCCCTGCCCTGAGCCCCCTGCCGCACCCTGACCCCCTGACATATCCTGCACCCCGACCCCCTGCCTCACCCTGCACCCCGACCCCCTGCCTCACCCCGCACCCCTCCTGCATCCCAACCCACTGCCCTGAGCCCCATGCCGCACCCCTCCTGCACCCCGACCCCCTGCCATACCCTGCACCCCTCCTGCACCCTGACCCCTGCCCTGAATCCCCTGCTGCACCCCGCACTCCTCTTGCACCCTGACCCCCTGCGCTGAGTCTCCTGCTGCACCCTGACCCCTTGCTGTACCCCTCACCCCTCCTGCACCCCACACCCCAACTCCCTGCCCTGAGCCCCCACCACACCCCACACCCCTCCTGCACCCCCTGGGGGCAGGGAGGGGGCAGAGTTGGGGTGGGGATTTCGGGGAAGGGGTTGGAATGGGGGCGGGGAAGGGGTGGGAAGAGGCGGGGCCGGGGTGGGGCCTCATGGAAGGGGTGGAGTGGGGGCGGGGCTGAGGGTGGCGGGGCGGGGGAGGTGTCAGTAATGTGGCCCTTGGGCCAATGTACTAGTCCTCCTGTGGCCCTCATGGTCATTTGAGTTTGAGACCCCTGAATTAGAGTCTGTTACTCCTGAATAATAGCTTCTAATTTCCCAGTGGTCTCCACAGCCAGGGATTTTCCTACTCTCTCCCATTACACTGGACTCACTAGATTCCCTAGTACGTAAATCCAGCCACACTGGGTCAGATCAAAGGTCCATCTAGCCCAGTATCCTGTCTTCTGACAGTGGCCAATGCCAGGTGTCCCAGAGGGAATGAACAGAACAGGCAATCAACAAGCGATCCATCATCTGTCATCCATTCCCAGGTTCTGGCAATCAGTGGCTAGGTACATCATCCCTGCCCATCCTGGTTAATGGCCATTCATGGTCCTATCCTCCATGAATTTATCTTGTTCTTTTTTTAAACCCTCTTATAGTCTTGGCCTTCACAACTTCCTCTGGCAAAGAGTTCAACAGGTTGACTGTCTGTTGTGTGAAGAAATACTTCCTTTGGTTTGTTTTAAATCTGCTGCCTAGTACTTTCATTGGGTGACTCCCAGTTCTTCTGTTAGGAGGAGAAGTAAATAACACTTCGTTATTTACTTTCTCCACAGAAGTCTTGATTTTATAGACTTCTATCATATCTCCTCTTCGTCGTCTCTTTTCCAAGCTGAAAAGTCCTAGTCTTTTTAATCTCTCCACGTACGGAATCTGTTCCATACCTCTAATAATTTCTGTTGCCCTTTTCTGAACCTTTTCCAGTTCCAATATATACTTTTTTTATGGGGTGACAACATCTGCACGCAGTATTCAAGATGTGGGTGTACCATGGATTTATATAGAGGCAATATGATATTTTCTCTGTATTATCTATCCCTCTCTTAATGATTCCTAACATTCTGTTTGCTTTTTTGACTGCCGCCACACATTGAGTGGATGTTTTCGGTGAACTATCCACAATGACTCCAAGATCCGTCTCTTGAGTGGAAACAACTAATTTAGACCCCATCATTTTATATGTATAGGTGGGATTATGTTTTCCAATGGGCTGCAGTATGTGCTATCCTGACATCTAGTACTGCTGAGATCCTGCATTCCATAATATCCCTGCCCTTCCTGTTCCCTTTCTGTGCTGAACCCCATCAGCCCATGCTTACTGTTCCCAGCTTCCCCAGGACTCTCCCTTTGTCTCAGGACCTCTCTGTTAGCAAGAAGCAGAGCCAGGGAGACTTGCCCTCTGTCTGGAGTCTTCAATTTCTGGGACATGGATTTATCTTCTCTGTGTTGTAAGAGGCTCTGTCATAATGAGTATCTGTGGCATTAACCCCTCAGTTCTCCAACCTGGGGTGCCTTTTCCACTGTTTTACTGTGAGAACAGCCCCTCTTGGCCAGTAAACACACAGTTTCCAGCATGTAACTCGCTCCCAGCTACACAGTATTGAGTGGTGCTAGTCAGCCCCTCATGAATTACATCTCAGGAGAACACCAGCAAATTGTCAAGTGCCAGACTTTTCCCCCAGAAATGTGCATCTTGCACTATCCAGCACACTACTGAACAACGCAAGCTCATATTAAATCTTTCATTTCCTCAGTGGAAAATGACATGCACCAGCCTTGTTATCCCAGATGGAATTTCCCACAGACTTTAATCCAAACACACTGGTGTGATGTTCCCCTCCGGTGTTATCTGGACTGGTGATCTACTAGGCCTCTCCAATCCTTGACTCTGGGAGCCAGCTTTACCCTGCTCTACTGTGAGAACCCCCACTCCTGGGCTGTTCATGCACAGCCTCTGGCATGTAAGCTACTCCCAGCAATTGGCAAGCGAATGACACTAGCCAATATCTCTGGTCCCAGACACAACCCTAGGAACCTCCGTCTTGCAATGTCCAGTAATGCTCGCTGGATGATGCAAGATGATGTAAGTTGGTCAATTTAACAAAGAAATTCATATGTACCAGGATTGTTATCCCAAGGGGAGCCTCTGACACACTTCAAACCAAATACTGCTTCAGGTAGAATAAACAAAGATTTATTAGCTATAAAGATAGATTTTAAGTGGTTATAAGTCAAAGCTTAACAAGTCAGATTTGGTCAAATTAAATAAAAGCAAAACGCATTCTAAGCTGATCTTAACACTTTCAATGTCCTTATAAACTTAGATGCTTCTCACCACAGGCTGGCTGGTTACTTTTCAATCAGGCTCTCCCCTTTGATCAGCGCTTCAGTCGCTTGGTGATGTCTGTAGATGTAGGTGGGGGAGAGAGAGTCAGCATGGCAAATGTCTCTCCCTTTTATCATGTCCTTTCTTCCCCCATGGCTTTGCTGCCCCTCTCCCCCGCCCTGCTTCAGAGTCAGGTGAGCATTTCTGAGTCTCTCCAAGCAAGGTTGAGCAATTCCCCTAGTGTGGCCTCATGCAGATACATCATGGCATTGTAGCTCCCTTGCTGGACAATGGCTGTTGATGGGTTGAAACCCCACCTGGGTGTTGGTTACTTTCCTTGCTGTTGCCTCTGGGGAGCCAATATCTGGCTGATTCCCCCAACTTACAGCATGTTTTAGTGACAACCATACTACACAATTCTCATAACTTCATATGCATTAATGATATACATGTATGGATAGAGAAATGACTTTCAGCAGATCATAACCATTCTCCTGATACCTTACGAGGCATGCTTTATACATAAGATCACGAATATATGAAAATGATGAATACAGGGGTTACAGCATGCTCCCCCAAGGTATAGAATGTCACACCTCCCCCCTTAGTTTACTGCAAGAGGGTTAGTCACTGACCAGCTCGAAGGCAGTTTCCCCATTCACACACAGCAAACCAGGTTTTTTAGGGTTTCTCTGCTGTGATAAGATTTAAACCTGTTTACAGGTATTAATTGAAAAGTAACATTATCATAAGGTTTATCATCCATGTCAAAATTCTTATCCCCAAAACTTAACATTAATACCAAAGGTTTTGGGTTTACAAGTATCTTTATGATACCACACCCTCTGTTCAGATGTTCTAGTTTGAGGTTAGTTTATTCATTGCCCATGGTTTCCTTTGACTCTCTCCCATGTAATGAGTCACTGGCTTTTCCTTCCCTCCAGTGTTCCCTTCTGTGTCAGCTCTTAATTTAATCATGTTTCTGGAATTTTGGTGCCTCAGGGTCTGGCAAGACAGGTGTTCAGGGGGATCCTGCACATTGGCTGGCCCTTTGG